TTCAGATGTATTCAAACTTTCAGTTGCTACATTGAAAAGTTTTGAACAAGAGAATGGCGTACATCATGGCATATTGTTCTGCCAAACATACAGAGTGCTGCAACATTAAATCCATTTTTAGAAATTCCACAGTAAAATAAACAAAGATTGAGTTAAAATTAAAATTACGTATGGTGCCTGCTTTCCTTTAAATGATACCATCTGTTTATGGAGCCCACCACTAATTATAAAGTAGTGATTATATAATTTGGTGATATACTCCTATGTATGTTGTCTGTCTGTACCAAAAGTGTCAGAAATAACCTAAAATTTTTTCACTGTCACATGTTTGTAATTTCTAAAAGTTTGGTTGAAAGTGTGTTGGTGTGTATGTGATATATACCTCAATAGATTTCACACTGCTGGCCACATTGGTTCATTGGTAGTTACCCATCAAACAAAATGATAATTACAGAGATTGTAAAGCTGCTGTATTACTGTATATTCTATACAGAACTTTGTTACTGTATGTGAAATTTTCCTCCCACCTTAGAAGTTCCTGTATTATTTTTGGTACATAATTAAAAATTATGAAGATACAGAAGCTTTCTGTAGCATGATATCAGTACAAAGTTCATGACAATGTATTTCAAACATTACTGCAAGGGGATAAATACACAAGGACAAGATTCCTACCATTCCTCTGAAAGGAAAGTATGTTAAAAATAATGAAAGCCAGAGGACAGCCATTCCTTGGTAACAGCTGTATAACCATGTGCACATGACAGTGGATATACATGCAACAATAGAAGAGCTGTTGGAAATGATGTTTTCTGTGTGATCCATGCTGAGTTTATATAATGGGAGCCTCAGGACGACACTCATGGCTGGGAGGCGATGAATTGCAGTTGGGCGTTAGCTGCAAGCCAGCCACCATCCAACAAGGACGTGAGCACAGAAGCTGAAGAATCTCCATTGTTAGCAGCCATAACCAAGCAACAGCTAATGAAGGCAGATTGAGACATAGCATGTGCTTTATTGATTTATTACATGTATAGATTAGTGATAGCATTAAACTGTATCTGTAGTTACAAGTTATAAGTGTTCAATAAATCCAATTACCAGTGCAAACCCATGTCTAGTCACTAACACCTGACAATGTTTATTAATGCAAGCATGAAGGAATACATTGACTTCCAAATTTTGACGTTACTTATTGGGTAACAGACATATTTTCCCTTATCATCAGTGAGGATGTTAGAAAGTAGTCCTTTACAAATTCAATATGACCAGTGCTTGTCACACTTATTGGTGAGATAGAAATGTAAGAGTTTAGTCAGAAAAGTTGAAGGGAAGAGACCACTTGAAAGACCTACCTACCATAGAGATAGATGGGAGGATAATATTAAAATGGATATTAGAGAAATAGGTGTAAGGGTGTGGGGTATGGTCTGGAATCATCTCACTCAGGATAGGGATCACTGGTGGGCTATTGTGAAGGCAGCGGTGAATGTCTGGTTCCATAAGGGGAGGGGAATTTCTAAACTAGCTAGGTGAATGTTAGCCTCCCAAGAAGAACTTTACTCCTTGGGGGTTAGCTTATTGAAATATTCAGTGGCTGACTTTTTTAGTGTTGTGTTCAAATTTCCAAGTTTTGTTATAGTGAGATCCTGGTTGTTTATGTGCTCTGAATTTTTGTGTTTTATTTGTGTAAGTGATGAATATATGGAGTTTTGTGAGTGTGGTGTGCATTGGTGAAAGAACTAAAATTTTGTCAAAAAATAAATTTTCAGTAATGAAATGTTCAGTTTATATGGTACAACTTAAAGCACAGAAACAAAATGGGTTTTAACTTTCTTGGCCCTGTTACAGGGCATTTAATTAATTTATGCACTCCATTGATCCTGTATCATAAAGGATGAAAAGTGAACACTTTTTGTATTATGCAAATATCTCATTTGCATTTGTTATGTTTGCCGTCATATTCAGTAAAACCATGTTAGTTTGATGTGAGATTATTGATTTTATGACTTAATTGATATTCATCAAATTGCCTTTTTTATATGTTTGACAATATGCATAATTCAGAATTGGTGTAATTTTTTGTTGTTGTAATTTTGGCTGTGTAACACTCAAGTCCACAGCTTAGCTTGTAGTTGTTAACCAGACCATTTCTGTGAACCCTGGTTTCTGCATATTTGTCAGAATCGAAGCAGTTTGTGAGAGGTCAGTGATTATAAGCTTGTCAGAATCGAAACAGTTTGTGAGAGGTCAGTTATTATAAGCGTGGGAGAAGGCAGTCCTTGAATTTATTTGAAGTTTGCTGACAAAGTACTCCTAAATTTGTGTAAGATGTTGAACTGTTAGTTGAATCTTTCATTGAGTGTAGATTGGTTTTGTTTTTAGGAGCCACGTCTCTTAGGTTCAAGATGTCTTATTTGAGTAAAGATTTTGCCACATCTTTCAGTTTGTTGTCTTTTGAGGTGTGACATTGAGTGGTCTTGTAGGTGGATGCTAATACAATGTATTCAGCCGTCAAGGAAACCTGGCAACAATGCACAGTGAACACAATGTTCCTTACAGAGTGCTGCTGTAACTGCTGATAGCAGAATGAGTCAGTGCTGATAAATGTCTGCTGTCAGGTGGTTTGATCTTGTCACTGCAGTAAGTCGCATTAATAGTCAGTCTGTGTTAGAGGTGTGAATAGGCGGTTGACATTTATACTGAAATGAAGTCCACTATTGAATAGCTTGTGTTTATTGTCAAAACTTTTGCAAGGAAAAAACTTACAGAAAATGTATAACTTTTGTCGTAAATGTCCTGACTTGCCAGTTCCCACAAGGTCGTGTATATCGAAGCTTGTGAAAAAGTGGCAGGCCACAGGTTCAGTGTGTGACAAAATAGCAATCAAAGAGGTTTGTGCTGACTGAAGAAAAGGTTCAGGAAATTGAGGCACAACTACAGATCACTTCTTGAAAATTGTTAAGACACTTAGCACAGGAAACAGGTTTCTTTGCTTGGATCTGCCTCCACAACCACAACATTAATCAGATTTCGCCCGTATAAAATGACAACTGTGCATGAGCTGGGGCACCCAGATTATGCAGCAAGAATTTGTTTTTGCAACTGGCCGCTGCAAAATGTGCACAATGGAATTATGGATCCACAGCTTCTGTTCATAACCGATGAAGTGTGGTTTCACGTTAGCTTCCATGTCAGTGCACAGAATGTAAGAGTATGGAGCGATGAAAATCCTCACGCTATACAGAAAGTGCCATTACATAGTGAAAAGGTGGGGGTATGGTATGCTCTAAGTCCACGGCGAGTCATTGGCGCCTTACTTTTCCATGAAATCGTGAACTCTTGACTACTACGTTAATGATATACTGAATCCTTTCTTCAGTCAGCTGACTGCTGAAGAAAGACAATATGGGTATTTTCAGCAAGACAACGCTACAGCACATGTGACTAATGTAACCATGGCGACAGTATGGGAAGTGCTTGAAGACAGAATAATCAGCAGAGGACTGTGGCCTCCCATATCCCCAGATCTCAGTTTTTGCGATTTTTATCTTTGGGGAAACCTGAAGGGAAAAGTCTACAAGAATAATCCTTGCAGCACTGAAGCTCGGCAGAATGAAATAACACACCACTTTTCCACAAGCTTGGATACACACGACTTTATGGTAACTGGTGAGTCAGGATGTTTATGACGAAACTTACGGATACATCTTCTATCAACACCTCTAACGCAGACTGATTGATGGGGGCATGCAGTAATGCAGTAGCGTAATTAGTTGAAGGGCTATGCTACAAGCCGGAAGGTTGTGGGTTCAAGTCCTGATGAGGTCATTGGATTTTTTTCAGTTGACCTAATCCTTCCAGTCGCACTGGGCCCTGGGGTTTACTCAACCTCTAACAGAAATGCGTACCAAGAATTAATGAAATAATTTTCCTGGGGAGTAAAGCGCTGCTGGCGCGTAAGGCTGACAACCTTACTGCCATCTTTGAGCCGATTGTCTAGATAGTGTGGGACCCTCAACATCTCACAACCCTATGGGCCTTCATGGCCTGGCACAGGGATAGCTTTACTTTTTACTTACTGCAGTGACAAGATCAAACCACCTGATGACGCACGTTTATCAGTGCCAGTGACCCATGCTGCTATAAGCAGTTACAGCAGCAATCTGTGAGAAATATTGTGTCCACTGTGTGTTGCTCCCAGCTTTCCTCGATGGTTGAACACTCTGTATTTTGGAGGTATATACTGCTCCATCTTTAGGGTTGAAGTGTATAGGTTGATGAATCAGTTGGGTTATGTAAATAGTTTGTAAAGGTGGTTGCAGAGGCATGTTCTAAGGTGAGGTTATGGAGCTTGGTCCAGTATGAATACTAGATAGGAAAACAGCCTTTTCAGTGTCCCATGATATATATTTTCCTTCCCTCTTATCTGCCAGTGATAGAAATGGTGAAATATGAGGATTCCAAAGCCTCTACCATTGTGAAGTGGAATTTCCATGCAGAGAGCACACTATTTCTGGATCTTTACATTCATTTGTGTGTGTGTGTGTGTGTGTGTCTACATGAATGCTGTGGTGTGTGTTTGCTAATAGTCAATATATTGGATGTTGTCTAACCAACACATAGCTCCTCAAACAGTCCCGAGTCTGGCCTGGGAACATCTCATACCAGTCTCCCCGACTCTGACCCAGAACATGGTGACACTGATGCCCAAGGCCAGCCATGCAGTGACTACTGTGATGGAGAAGTACTCCCAGCCCTTGGTGTATGTAAAGCACTCTACCCATTTGAAGGTAAGCTAACTCCATTTGTCTATGCCATCTTGGTTTTTCATAAAATGTCATATGGATGATAATTTCTTACATTTCCCCATTTGGAGCATTGCAAGAGTTCTTTACTGGTCTACCATTACTACTATATCCACATAGAATGGAAAAAATGGACTTTTCAGAGGAAAAAGAAATATTGATATTTAATAGCGAACTCTTTCTTAGACTGAAACAATATTTTAAATGCTTTTACGTCCAGTATATTTTATTTGGTGCCGGTCACGGTAGCCAAGTGGTCTAAGGCGTGCACTGTCTTCACTCGCTCGGAAGCCGGGATCGTGGGTTCGAATCCCACTCAGCATGGATGTTTGTGTGCGTTTTTCTGTGTTTGTGTGCAGGTATAGGCCTTGCGACTAGCTGATCACCCGCCCAAGGAGTCCTACCGTATGTGTAAGATCTAGAAAAACCGAAGTGAATGGAGTTCATGGAGGCAGGCCTAGGCCCACTGGGGCTGTAGTGCCAAGGAAAAAAAAATTATTTGGTAATAATAAGCCTGCAGAGAAGATTGTTATGATCTTGCTTGGTATAAAATTGCAAGCTCTCTTTCACTATCAGACATCAAAAGAAAACCTTATGAATCACATAGGAATGTTTAACCTTTTAGTGCCGAAGTGCCCCTTTCGGGCCAGTGATGAGTGTGGTCATTGTGGCCAGAGTACCCCATTTTGGCCAGTCAGCCATTTAAACTCCGCTAGTAGAAGCGAATGCACAGCCTTAAATATTTATTTTTAAATGTAGTAATTACCAGACAGACTTGAGTAAAGCCCTAATAAAGGAATTAAAATGATACCTAAGTGAACAGCAGCAAAAAAGAATATACGTATGAGTTATGCCCAAACTCATCCACAAGCCAGTACTTTTATTGCAGATTCTGCAGATTAATGTGTTAAAAATATATAGTAAAATTTGATGTACATACCTTTTTTGTTGTTAGCTGCTTGATGTGTATGTAGGCTGAAATGAAACTACAGTATTCGATTGCACTATGAACGCAAAGAAAACAGATCACACTCTGTATCTCAGACACAATGCAACTGTCTGTTCACGACCATAGAAAGGTCAATAATCTCTTGCAGCTATAACAGATGGTCTTAGCACTGAAGAAGGGACCCCTCTATCTTTCTCTTGTATAGCCATTCTTTCATTCTTCTGTCCTTTAGTCAAAAGATTCGAAAATCCGAAGAATGTAAGCAGTGCTAGCAAAGACCAAATGATTTTATTGCTTCCATCTGTTTTATGACACCAGGGACTGCTAAAATTTGTCAAGTGTTACAAACAGAAATGACTTTATAATGCAGAACAACTCTGTGAAGAAGTGGGAAACCATTTTTGCAGTACGCATCAAAATTAAAAGAAAAAACTTGAAAATAGAGTATAACACTTTGTATAAAAAAATTTCAAATCTTCCATTATAATATGCGACACTATGTTCTTTGCTGATACAAACAAAATTAATTCCATCCATTTATCATAAAAATTTAGTTAGATACAGCAATTTTAAACACAATGCTTAAAATTGTATAAGCGCCCTAACAGGAACGGACAGTAGCAACAGGCATTTAAACGCGCACCAGCAGCGGCCATTTAAATAAACTCTGGCCAGCTCAAACTTACCACTATTTCAGAAGTCTGGCGTTTAAAGGTTAAACTTCTTAAATCAATAAGCTAGAGTCCAAATATTTACAGTTAGTGCTTGAACTGCTACCCCACAAGAGTTGTAATGAGGCTCCTTACTAATATGCTCAAGTTAGTATCTGTCGAGAAGACTTGCAAACATTAAGTGACAATTTATTAAAGATTTGTAATGTAAGAAATTCAGTACAATTTACTTTAAGAACAACTTGGGCAAAGTGTGGGTACTTGGTTAGTACATCATAACAGGCTTATTTCATTCACTGTTTTTGCCATGTGATTCCCAGTTAATAATAATTCTACAGGCTTTTGCAGTACTATGATTCCCAAATTCTGACCTGATGCTGTTGCTCCAATAACAAGGTTGACAGAGACAGCTAATGTCATCTTGTTTATCTCATAACAGAAAAATTGAGTATGTGTTCAAAGTTTGAAACATTTGAAATGAAATAGGCTTGCTATTCTGTTAATTTTTTTCATGTATGCTCACTAAAGGTCAAGATAGTGGGCAGTGACCAAGGGAGATCTTTATATAAAAAACTTAGGGCCAACAGAATGTCCAAACAATGCCTTCAGCAGAAAGATGAGGAAGTAGTAAACAGGATTGATTTCCAGGTGGCATTACAGTCTCTACCTTTGCCAAAAACAAATTACCATTGTTGACAGTATATATATTCAGCAAAATCATAATTAAATATATATATAAGAGTTGTTCAATCGAAGGGTTATCTGTGAAAACTGTGGCTGGCTACTCTTTCTTAGACAATTTTAATACATAGTGTTCTTCACAAGTGAATTACTGTGTAGGATTTGAGATTGTTACAGCGGTAGCTATGAAGGGTTCTGTTTTCTAGATATAGTGCTGCATAATCCATTAAAAGGGAGCCAGGATGGCATAGTTGGTATAGCAACTGCCTATGGGCTGAATGGCCAGGGTGTCTGAGTTCAAATCCCAGTAGGGTCAAGAATTTTCTCTACTCCAAGTCATCCAGATCGGCTGTGGTGCCCACCCAGCCTCCTACCCAATGGGTAATGAGGGCTCTTTTTGCAGGGGTTTGAAGCTGACCACTCACCTCCAACTAGTGCCAGGGTAAAGAAAGTGTGGATTTATATATCCACTCTCCCATACACTTTCATGGCATAGTGGTTAATTAGTTAAGCATAAGGACAACTTTACCTTATAGTCCATTAACAGCCAGTGGACTACATGGCATTATATCCCAGAAGAGAGAATGAAGTTGAATTTGATATTTGCTCAGTGCACATCCTTCATGGAATGCATCCATTTCATAAAACAAGGAGTTGGTGTAACGACTTATTACAGTATCAGGAAACTTTCCTGCTTTTAGCATGTGAATGGTGGATATTAAACCAAGGTGATGTATGAAAATTTCTGCCCCCAGATTCTTACACACATATGTTGTAGAGATTGATTTGTTTGTGATCTGCAGCTACAAGCGAGGGCTCCATACCAATGCATGATGGCGAAGAACTCCACATTGTAGAGTTGGACCAGGGTGATGGCTGGACACGAGTACGGAGACAAATTGACATGGAGGAAGGATTTGTACCCACATCATATATTGAATGCACACTTTTTAGCAGTTGTTAATGGACATGAAATTTAAAATGCAGGCTGTAAATAAGGTTGCACTGGAGTGAAATCCAGAACCACAACTCAACTCGTCCATAGCAAGTTCCGTTCCAATGCTCCTTCGTACTGATTTTTCTGGACAGACTTGTTCTTAGTTTTCAGACTCTCATAGCAAATATTATTGGGGGGGGATTGCAGAATGGGAGCAGTTGGAACATTCGGGAATTGGCTGTTAGATGCAAGTGAAGAGCAGTTACTGTGATGGTTAGAGTTTTGTGTTGTAAGTATTTGGTTGCACGTCTGAAAGTAGAGAAGATCAAGTCTTTAATGGTGTAGGGAACATGAAATGGCAACAATTTGGTAACAATTTTATTATAATTACTCTAAAAATGGATTGTAATTTTTGGTCAAAAAGTGCCAAAACTGTTGTTGGTCAGAACTGGGTTGTGTTCTAGCTCATATTAATAATTTCTGCTATATCTAGGAGGTTGATAATGTATTGTTTTCATCAGTGACAGATAAACAAGGGGAAACTTTCCCTGTAGGAAAACATGGGTTTTTGATAAAGTCTTGACAAACTCCAATTCATTTCATTCATTTTTAGTGGCTCTGTTATGGAATTGTAACCAAGCTTCAAAAAGTGGTTAACTTATTGTTGATCAGTGCTCAGGTCTGTAGGTTAGTAATGAAGAGTTTTGATCAGTCACAAGTAGCTTTTGAAAATGCATACTTAGGGAGGCTTAGTTTTTGTAATTACACTCGTCATGTTCTGTTATTGATGTGGGAAACTGGAATGAAGGCAGTGTTGTTAGAGTTGGGCACTATAATACAATTTTTAGTGTTCATAACTAGAAACAGGCATGAAAAACTTATGTTTTATACACTTGGGCTGTTGTATATTGTATCTTTAACTCTTGGAAATAATTACAGACACAAATGATGAATGTTGAAGTTTATACACTAGGGAAATGTGAAACTGCTATGCTCATATTATATGTGTGGATGTACTGAACAGCTTATAACAATAATAATAATAAAATAATATATGACAAATTATGTCAGTGGCATGAAAATGGTGTCCCGTAAATTAGGTGTTCGATATGCACCACCTTACAGCAAGTATATAGACACAGAGCAGTTCAGCATATATCGATGAAATAGAAACACTAATACTTTTATATTATAAAGGTGAAGTTGTGATTTATTTTTTATTTCTTGCCTTTAGTTTTTATGACATTATGCTAATGAATGAACGCTTGAATGGATTTTTATTTCATAACTGTTTCTGTGTTTGTGTTTACCTGCACATGTGTGCACATGCAGAATAATACATATAAACAGAACACACACACAGCTTGATATATTCAATAGTCTGTGCTCTACTTTCACATTGTTTCTGAAAACTGATGTATACACGGTGTGATAATGTTTCATGTTTCTGACTTGCTAGTTTTGTTAGTGTAGCTCATATAAGTGTTGTGGACCAAATTAAATTTAGAAACTACACTTTTAAACAGATGCATAGAGCAGGAGTGTTCAAAACTTAAGTCACTCTTTTGAAGCTGATAGTTATAATAATGTAATGAAAATATAAGTAAGTACAGCAATCTCTTAGAAGAGCTGATGGGAGTTTGGGTTGTTTTAATAATGGCCACTGTTGGCATGAGGAGGCAGTGTAATATCCTACAACTTGGGAGTATAGGTCCTTCTGTCTGCTAGGTGATGATAGCTCAAAGTCAGGTGGCAGCTTTGTTATCTCTCGCATTGATTCCGAACATGTGGTTGACTACAACTAATGTTCTGGGAGATGAAGTGAGTGCTGTTAATGAGTGAAATCCCGTGACAGTCCAGCAGAGAGGTAGAGTAATTTATCTTGTTAGAAAAGAGATGATGGAAATCCAATTATGAAGGTTAGAGCAGAGCAGACCACAGGTAGTTGTTTTTTGTAGGTCAGAGCCTCTGATGGACATCCTGACACTGAGATTATGAAATGTCTTTTCCCTCTTCTCATGAAATCTGAAATGGTTTGTAAACACATTGCAGCTGGTTGAGTTTTACATCACATATACTGTCCAGGCTCTGTCTTGCCGTCATACCGTGCTTCCCCTTCTCACAGAAATATACACATTCTTTTGTCTTACTTTCTTTGATTATGCATGTGGGGTTCATAACATGAGTGAAAAACAGAACCCATTGTAGCTCAAGGTTTGTAGGTTGTTTTTATATGGTTGCATTCCATTTTGAGCTATAATAGGCGGTATTAACACAAACTTGCCGGTCATGGTAGCCAAGCGGTCTAAGGCATGTACTGTCTTTGCTCGCCTGGAAACCGGGATTGTGGGTTTGAATCCCACTCAGGGCATGGATGTTGAGTTTGTGTGTGTGTGTTTTTCTATGTTTGTGTACAGATAGAGGCCTTGTGACGAGCTGATCAGCTACCCAAGGAGTCCTACCAATTGTGTAAGATCTAGAAAATCGAAGTGGACAGAGAAATTCATGGAGGTAGGCCTAGGCCCACTGGGGCTGTAGTGCCAAGGGGGAAAAAAACACACACAAACTTATAATTAAAAGATAGTGTTTTATTGTTTCTCATTCACTAAACATGAATAGTGAATAGTAATAAGTTTGTGTTAAGACTGCTTATTTACAACTTGTTTGTAGTTTCAGGTATAAATTTGTTTAGTTCACTATTACAGTTTCAAAATAATGTGCAGATGTTTGGTGATCAGTAGCACCCATGTGTGGTGTGGCTAGCACTTTGTGGTCTCTGGTCCTCTGGATGCTGCTACTGCTTTGTAAGGTCATGTTCTTTGGTAACGGAAGAAGGCAGTTTGTTAATATTTCTGATGTCTTCCCCAGGATGGACTTGAAGTTGAGCTTATTAACTTTCACACCTGCTTGTAGTAAGAAATAGCGCACTATCACGGGTACAGTTTTTACATCAGTTTTGTTAGAAGCGTCAATTTTAACACCAAATCTGAATTGTTTAAATGCAGTTCTTCATTACACGTTAAGGTGCAATTAAATTTACAACAGTGGCTTTGAATTTTGTTCTTGGATCACCAAACTTTTGTTCGAAGAGTGTTGATCTCAGTTTTGAAGTGCAATCCGATGTTTTAAAACTTAAACAATAAATAGCTGTATGGTAAGCAAAAGTTGCCTCTTTAGCAGCAATGACAAAGTCCTTATTCATATGATTTTTGTATGCATGCATGTGTAATTGATGAAGAGCTGACTTCTACTTCTAGTGATGATTTATGGTGTGTAGTTTGTACAGTCTTTGATGTTCAAATGTCTGTTGAGAATTGTGATCTACGTTGCAAACATACAACACAATCATTACTCACATTTCTTAAAATAGATAGTCATTTTTAATATCATTATTAAATTTACACTTATATTTCAGCATTTTTTGGAGTAGTTAACTTAGATGCTTATTATAAAGAACAGTTTTCTTGTAAAATAGGTCATAATAAACTTCAGAATGTGGCAGCAGTGTCTAATAAACTGAATGCCATCTTCCTGACATGCACTAAACCTTTGCATAACCATGAAGGCAACACTGTGTGCCACTCTCAAAGTACTGAAGGCAGGATTCATTTCTCCCACCACCGAGGGTTAAGTTATCCCAGAGACATTGAATTGAAGTTGATTATTACTTGGGCCAGGTTCAAGGTTGCAAGGTCCTTATCGCCAAAGCAGAAAATCTGTGACAAGAGGGGCAATAGAACTACAAACCAAGGAGAATTTGTGGATCGACCAGGACAGAACTCAAAACCAGGACTGTCCTGATCAAATTGGCGTATGGTAAGCCTATGTTTGCACGCTTGTTCAACAGTAGACACTTATTCACAGTAATTCACTTTCAAATGAAAGGGCTTGAAACATTCCCCCAGAAAAGTGAAAACTGATTTTGGCAGTGGCCAATGATATGCCTGACTTCCCCGAAGTTTCCATGGTGTTTCTAAATGTTACTGAATATTTCCATACAAGTCTGGTGGTCCTCCACTGGTGTTTTGCAGTGTAGTAAATTCTCCATTGTTTCATGTGTTAGCAAACACGACCACCAGCAGTAGATATCAGCACGCTGTTTTCATAACATGATTGAGTTGGTCAATATAAGTTGTTTTGAAGCTGTCCACACCAGGGAAGGAACCTAGGTACATTTTACTAATGAACCCATTTATTAAACTATACATCTATCATATTCATTAATCTCATACCATAATCTGTGTCCTCTTGCAACACATGTTTCACATGTATATATAACTGCCTCCCACCAGTATAGGGTTTAATGCTAACATAGCTGCATGCTGAAAGTCACCTGGTAGCGACTTCACAGAATTACATGATGTAGCCTCGCTAAGGGGTCACTTGTCTAGGAATCCTCTTACCTTAGCGATGATGCCGCGGAGGCTGCTACAGCTAGGTCACCTTATAGTTACCGACGAATATTGGACTCCTGGATCCAGGCGTACAAAGTGTTGGGTGCCATCTCTAGTCGGAGAGCACTCGATCTGCCTCACGGTCTTAAACAGGCCTTGTTTCAACAAGTGAGTCAACAGGTCAAAACTCATTAAGCACTTAACACTTGATTGCAATTTATGTTTTTTATATTACTAAATAAACTTATAAATTTAATTCAATATAATCCTTTATCTGTTAAGTCTCTGACAAGGCTCTTTACTTACATCCTACATGTTTCAGAGTCTGGATGCTAGTGTTTAACATAGAGGAGTGCGCAATACATTGGGTGACTGCCAGCATGATGTCATACTTATTAACCAGAAATTGTACATGAATCTGGCAAAATCTGTTACCAGGAGGAGTAATCGGCTCTATGTACAAACTTATTTTATTATATATACCGATCTTGAGTACTTGGGAAAGAAAATTGGGTGGTGACAGTTTCTGGATTGAATGATAAGCATTTTCAGAATTTATTCTTGTCATAATTTTATCATGAATCTCATTTCTGTGTTTAATGTTGTTCTCAAGCACCATACTTACATTCTCAAGCATTATTAAATTACGAGTATTTATTACATGCCATCGTATACCTGGATGGCAGGTTCAGTGGATTTGTGTAAGGCCATCATTTGGTGGAGAAATAGCTGCCGGAAGATTGCATGAAACGAGATTTATTAAACACACAGAATGATAACAGTTGTTCAGTAGGTGGAGGCTTTAGCAGTGGCCTACTTCTAATAGAACCGAGTACTGTCCTGAGGACTAAACTTTCTATCAGATCAGAGAGTGATTTGATAATGGTCTTGGTGCAGTATATATACTGGTCATTGAGGGCATAGTCTTATGGAAGTTTGCATTAGTTTCACTCATGGCAACAGCAAAGAAGCTTCTAGAACGTTCTGTTGTTTACAACATGCCATCTATTTGTACCTTGCCTTATTCTTGGACTTTAACTCAAGTTTACCAGCTACTCTAGGTGTAGTAGTTTTATGAAGCAAGAGTGTCAACAGTTGCCTCTGCTTTCTAGTTCCAAAACAAGATTATTTAGGGATGGTGTATGCAACATCAGTGAAAGCTGAGTTACAGTATTCATGTTGGTACCATCTCTGCCAAATATTTATTCATTCAGCAAGGATCTCTTTAATTAGTCTATTAATTCCCATATATGTATATAAGGTAAAGGTAAAGCTATCCCTGTAACAGGCTCTGGAGGCCTATTAGGTTTTGAGATGTTTTCATCATATATATTAGTTCCCATGCATATCACCATATACAAAAATACAGTCATGTGATTAGGCTTTGCATCATGTTTGTATATTTAGTGTGATCTTTATTTCATTGTTTGTAGAGAAATTCTGTGTCATCTTTTACAGAATTTATGCTCATCCCCTACAAATGCTTATAATCAGCACAATCAAGTATCTGATTCAGTTCATTCAATTTCTGACCATCATGATGCTAAGAATTCCCTGTTGGCGTAAAAGAGCAGTAAGGATAATATATCCATTTGTTTTGGCCCATGTGAACTTGCCAGCATAAGATGTTTACCGATAGAAATTCTGAGACCTATAAATTTTAATTAGCATAACAGTTACATTGGGTATTAGGAATTCAGTTAAAGTATTGTGCAGTACATCTCTTCTAACTGAATCATATTGAATGAAAATTTGTAGCATGTATACCTTTTATTACGAATAACAAGTCCTTTTGCAAGAAATACCTTTAGGTTTGGAGGAATCTGGACCTACTTAAATTATCCCTATAGTTTTGTTATGTTGTACGATAAACTGTAATATTTTGTCAGAGAATGTAGTAGACATAAAATAGGACACATACAGCAAGCTCTTTATTTGTCGTTGATTCTCATGGGCGCCATAGCTTTTGAATAAGATGGGTACTTGGGATGAGAAGCACTAGAGCTGCAGTCACTTGCTGACTTGTTATTCCCTCATTTTACAGTCACTGTTATGATCGGAATGTTAATTTTAACCTTGTGCTGACAGAACAGGATTGTTATTTTTTCCACAATGACATCTGTATTGTCTGTTTATAAAAGTAGGTTTAAATTGTTGGATATTGATTTCTCAGGCTACTTTTATGTCTTAAAGCATGAGGATTTGAATGCCTAAAAATGTTTAGATGCAAAAGACAAAAGCTGCAAGGGATAATGATGGTGCAAGTATTGCAAAGTGTATGCAGTTATTATTGTCTTGATGAGGACACCATTTTCAGTCAGTCAAAAAAATGATTTATTTTAGAGTTTACATTATGATTCATGTTTATAAACTGTTTTGTACATGTATCCTTCATCTGTGTGTGAATGTATATACGTGTAGCCAAAAATGGATATTAATATATATATTTTGCTATAGTCATGGCTGTTCATAATTCTTTTACTACTTTTTTTTATAGTTTTAAGGACTTTTGATATGTGTGTTTGTTGCCAAAAGTAAGTGATATGTGCTTGTAATGGGCAGTTTTATGTAAATTGTTTTGACATGAAAGCAACTGCTTATGATATTATTTTATTTGTAGACGTATTTCTGGTCTGTGTTGACACTGAGAGAATGGTACTTCCTCCATATTTTATTGGTTTATCACTAGGTATGTTTAGTCAGTGCTCAGTTGGGATATATTGTCTGTAGAATTTTTATTTATTTTTTTACATACAGGAGAAGGAATGCCGGACTTCTTGGTAGTCTTTCAATATACTTTGTATGTTAGTATTGAGAGAGCGATCATGGTTATAATATTTGTTATAGTACCTAGCTATAACTAGCCAATGTTGAACACTATATGAAAGAAGGTATGTATGTTTCCAGAAATTTTATTATTGCAGATTATAATTGTTTTTATTGAATATTAATAATCGGTAATT